AAGGATAAGCATTTAGAATTAGTTAGGTATTACAGTGGCTTAGTAAGGAGGTGGTTGTAGGTGCTCCTCCAAGATCCATGACTTCACTAGATTAGGGCAATTGACTAGGTTTCAAGTATGAGCCATAATTTCCCTCAAGCAGAAGTTCAGTTAGAGAACTGATGGCCACTGCAAAGTATATGTGGCACTACTGCATTCTTAAGGTCATCATGACATGGTGGACATTATTGCCATTCATAGCATTATATTTGGTATTATTATTTGTTATTTCCCTTCTTTGGAAGCTTGCTTGGTGCCTTCTGGTAGAGCCTTCTCATGGTGGAGTCTTTTCAAGTCAAATTCAGGTCAGGTCGTCTGGGTACTCTGTCTGAAATTCATAGTATACATGATGAACAATAAGGTGTTACATTCCACACCTGGGAGGTAACCAAGGACCGCAGCAATGGCCTATAATGTTTGGACAGTATCTAGGATTACCCTGGCCAACAACGCAAAAGAGGATTTCTCATTCCTGCCGTTGAGGGGTTTGTCTATGGAGAGAACTTTGCCTGCCAAAATGGGAAATTTTCATTTAAATTATGTATAAATATATACATATATATACAAGTATTTTAGGTAGATAGCAATATGATTCCTTATGACTTTTTCAGATTACTCTCGCCCTCATTCTTCTGTAATTCTCTACTTCCCCTTCACTAATTAAAGCTGCCCACTTCTCCCTTTTCCCACCTCAGATCACTTGTACCCTACCATTCCAGTCTCTGTTGCTCCATTTTGCCCCCACAGTGTTCCCTTTTCACTTTCCCGATTCCTGTAGTTACTCAAATTATATACTCATATCTTCAGATTTGGAGCTAGGATTCACAGTTGAAAGAGACCTTATAGTGTTCGTTTTTCTGTATCTGGGTTACCTCACTCAATATTATCTTTGCTAGTTCCGGCCATTTACCTGCTAATTTTATGATTTCAATTTTCCTTACCTTGAATAACATGCCATAGTGCACATGTATCACTTTTATGTTATCCTTCTGTCATTTGGAGAACACTTAGTTTTTTTTTTCCATTTCTTAACTATCGTGGAGAGAACAGCAGTGAGCACGAATGCGCCATTTCCTAAGTATCGTGGAGAAAGCAGTAACGAGCACGAATGAGCAAGTGTCAGTAGAGTAGGCACACAAGTCCTTTAGGCATATGCCGAGGAGTGCTATAGCTGAGTCATAAAGTAGATTGAAGTTTAGCTTTTTGAGGAATCTACACAGATTTACAGAGTGGCTGGACAAGTTTGAGATAGCATCAGTAGTGAATGAGGTTCCCTTATCTCCAAATCCCCTCCAGCATTCCTTCTTGGTTGTTTTGTTCAGCTTTGCCATTCTACTGGGATAAGATGAAATTTCAATGTTATTTTAATCGCATTTTCCTAATTGCTAGGGACAAGGAACATCTTTCTTTCTTCCTTCCTTTCTTCCTTCCTTCCTTCCTTCCTTCCTTCCTTCCTTCCTTCCTTCCTTCCTTCCTTTCTTTCTTTCTTTCTTTCTTTCTTTCTTTCTTTCTNTTTCTTCCTTCCTTCCTTCCTTCCTTCCTTCCTTCCTTCCTTCCTTCCTTCCTTCCTTTCTTTCTTTCTTTCTTTCTTTCTTTCTTTCTTTCTTTCTTTCTTTCTGTTTCTTATTTTGAGAATGCTGTTCAGATACCAGGCCCACTTTTTGGCTGTATGATATATTTTGAACTCTGGAATGGTAATTCTTCCAGCACTGTTCTTTTAATTCATAATTGTTTTTGGCTGTCTGAGGAACTTTTGTGGTTCCATACAAATATAAAGCTAGTTTTTTCCCCTGGTTCCTGTTAAGAATGTAATGAGAATTTTGATTGGGATTGCATGGAATCTATAAATGGCTTTTGGTAGAATGGTAATCTTCACAATGTTAATTCTACCAATCCATGAGCACGGCGTGTCTTTCCATTTTCTAGTGTCTTTCTCTATCACTTACTTCAGAAGTTTAAAGTTTTCATTGTAGAGGTCATTCACATCCTTGATTTAGGTTATTCCTGGATGTTTTGTTTTCCATGAGGCTATTGTACATGGCATCTCTTTCTCTACATGTTTTTTGGAGTAGAGAAAATCTGTAGATTTGTGCAAGTTGATTCTGTATCCTGTCATGTTGGTGGAATTCTATTTCATTTCTAGAAGTTTTCTGATAGACTTGTGGAATCTTTTTTGTATAATATGTCATCTGCAAATAAGGATTATTTTCCTATTTGTATCCTTTTAATTTCCTTCTCTTGTCTTATTGCTGCTTCTTTGTGCACAGTATTGAAAAGGAATGGAAATAGTGGACATCTGTGTCTCATTACTGACTTCAGTGGAATTGCTTCAAGCTTTTCTTCAAATAGGATGGTATTGAATGTAGGCTTATCGTGTATAGCTTTAATTATGCTGAAGTTGTTCCCTCTAATTCTGCTCTCTCTGAGAGTTTTATCAGGAAGTCATGCTAGATTTTGTCTCAGGCCTCTTTGTGAATCATCAATTGGGATGGTCATGGGATTTTTCTCTTCAAGTTCATTTGTACTTATAATTATTGACTTACAAATGATAAACCATCCCTGCATCTCCAGGATAAAGCTAGCTTGGTCATAGTGTATACTCCTTTTGATAAATGTCTTCTTCATTTGCAAGTATTTTATTGAGAATTTTAAAATCTGTTGCTCATCAAGGATATTGTACTGCAGTTTTCTTTTTTTTGTTGTTGTTGTGTCTTTACTTGGTTTGGGCTTTATTTAGCGTGATTGAAGGAGTTTGGGAATGCTTATGATAATTATTTCTTCTCCTCCTCCTGCTTCTTTTGTTTAAAATGGACTGGTTACAGATCTTTGAATATCTGGTAGAATTTCCTGGTAAATCTATCTGGCTCTGGACTGTTCGTAGCTTGAAGGCTTTTTATTTTTATTTCAGTCTTCTCCTTTGTTATGGATTTGTTTAGGTTGTTGATTACTTCTTAGATTAATTTTGGTGGTTTGACTTAATCTAGAATTTCATCTATTTCTTTTAAGTTTCCAGCTTACTGGAATATAGGTTTTTAAAATACTCCCTTACAAGGTTCTGAATTTCTTTGGTGTCTGTTGTAATTTGTCCCATGTTTCACTCTAATTTTGTTGATTTGGGTCATTGTTTTTGCTCGTTTTTGTTTTTCCATTTCATTAGTTGACCCAAAGGTCTGTTGATCTTGTTTATTTTCTCAAAGCACCAGCCCTTAATTTTGTTGATTCTTTGTCTTTTTCTAGTTCATCAATTTATGCTGTGAGTTTTATTTTTTTGTGCAATTGACCAAGTTTAGATTTGTTTTATTCTTGTTTTTCCAAAATTTTGTTGGTTCCTTAAGTCATTTATTTGTGCTTTTTATGATAGTTTAGTTATAAATTCCCTTGTAGGACTCCATTTAATGTGTACCAGAGGTTTTGTTGTATTTTATTTCACTTAGTTCCAGGAGATATTTTATTTCCTCTTTGATCCATTCATCATTCACTAATATGTTGATTAAACTCTATGAGTTTGTATATTCCTAAATATAACTTGTTTGCTGCATATAATGTTACTTGTATGTGTGTTCTTTAAATATGTATTTGTTATAAATGTGTCAGGTCCTTCAATACTTCCTATCTTATTAAGATTCAAACCTAAAATCACTAAGGTTCTGAACATCCAGAATACTCTTATGTCATTGACCCCATATTTTCTTTTCTTTTTCCCATGTAACTTAATCTAGCCATTCTGTCTCCTAGCTATCTCTAGAACAAACCAATTTAATTCTGTCCTTGGGATCCACAGTCTTATGCTTCTTAGAAAGATTTCAGATAGCTATGTGATTCTTTCCATTTCTCCATCTTTAAATACTGTCTTTTAAATTTTTTCTTGGAACTTTGTACATGAACATTGCAGCTACATAGCCCTCTGGTTCCCACTGCTCCCATATTTCCCCTCTCCCTCAAAAATTCTTGATCACTTACTATTTATTGTTAAATGTACATGTGTGTATATATAAATATATATGTATATCAACATATACATATATGCACATTGTACATACAACCTACTGAGTCCATTGGGTGTAGCTCATATGTACATATATTCCCCTTTGGAATTGGATAACCTCTACAGGAGCTTGTCTTTAGAGAAAGAGCAGCCATTGGCCACCTGTAGCTCTTTGTCTAGGTTAGGTCCACGTAGAATTGGCATGTCAGCCAGTGTTGTCATTATGGTGGTCTTTTTCAGGCAATCATGTTGAGATTTCATGAGTACATTTCCCTTGTCACGTCTAGGGGACATTATCTTGCAGCAGGTGTCCTGGGCCTCTGGCTCTTATGGATAATACTTTCCTCAGGAAAATTTCATTATACTCTTCAGACTTTCATAGCTTCTTTCAATGGCAGAATGTGTTAGTCTGTCATTGCAAGAACTAGAATCTCTGGTTACTCTCTTCTAATAGGTACGAGAATTTTATTTGCCATATTCTGTTTACTATTGGTAAAGTTGGTGTCCCTTAACTACCCAGAATTGTTTTACTTTTCCCACTTACTCATTATCGCCACATGAACTTTACGATTGGTTTCTGTAGCTACCACTTGCATAGCTATCTCTTTATTACTAAATTATGAATCAAATCAAAATTAACATTACCTTAATATTCTTACATATGAACCTGCTTTAGGAATTCCTAGAGCCAGTAGCCTTTAAGTTTCCCGCGCAGTTGGCCATACTATTTATGCCGATGTAAAGTGCGCATCTGGCCTCTTTTCCAGCTGCAGGATTCGATTGCTGGTCCCTGTTCCAGCAGAGGATTATGACCTGTGAGTCTACCCCTAAATAAATAACCCTCTGTTATACTCAGTTCTGAGCTAGTGTGGGATTTCTTTTAAGCGTCCTTCTTCATGAACAGGATCTGTCTTTCTATTATTTTAAGACTTCTTTAGGGTCTCTGAGCTTTTTTTCCCCCTTCTTTTCTCCACAGCAAGATGGATTCTGGATATACTCAGAATATTGTAACAACCACCTGGATGCCTGCATGGAGCTCTCCAAGCTCATGAAAGACAGCCGCTATCAACACTTTTTTGAGGCCTGCCGACTCTTGCAGCAGATGATTGACATCGCTATCGATGGTTTTCTTTTGACTCCAGTACAGAAGATCTGCAAATATCCCTTACAGTTAGCTGAGCTCCTTAAGTATACTGCCCAAGACCACAGGTAAAGGATTTGAGGACACAGAAGTAAATGTCTTTTAAATATCGGTACCTTTTGACAATATATAGCTTTTCAGTTTCTGAACTGTGGTTAGTTTATGGTATATTCCTCTTTGCTTCACAAGGTCCTTGTGAGGAAAGTAAAGGTTATACTCTAGAGAGTTGCGTATAACCGTGTAAGTCAGTATGCACACCAAATCCCATGCATTGTCATTATTATATAACTTATACTACACTTTCATGGACTGCAGCTTATAGCTTGACTATTAATACGAGGCTCAGTCTCATGAGTCAAACCTAACATAGTAACTACTCAACCACTTATTCCATTCTGTTTGAAATACTCAGATGCTCTGCTAATACTTTTCCCAACTAGTACTAATCCTGCATTCTTTCTGCAAAGCTAATTGCATACTGAGTTTTTCTACCCCACCCACTAGACATTTTATAGAGACTTAGAAATGTGTGGAGGTAAAAAAGATTGAGACTTTCCTTAATGTTTTTTCTTTAGTTTTTAAATATTTCCTTTTTTTCCCTCCTCTTTCTTTGAGACTGAGTCCAACTCTGTATTCCTGCCTGGACTGTAACTCGTTATGTCAATAGACTAAGCTGGTTTCTAGCTAAAACAGATCTGCCTCCGGAGTGCTAAAATTAAAGACATGTGACATCACACTCCACAGTTCCTAAATCCTTTTCAGGGAAACTTCCCCAGCCAGGGCTATGAAGGCTATCGTTTTGAGTGGAAATGATGCAATTAATCTTTTACCAGCATGGTATGTGCTAAAAATAATCCCCATTCATCACCATCATGGTGATGCCTTACAGTAAACAAGCCCCACCCTTTCATATATCTTACCTCAAAACGTAGAGACTCAGAATATTTTTAGTTTGTCTTTATTTGGTATGAAATTCCTGGCTTTGAGCTTGTTGGTTCAGCTCAGCACTAATTCTTATAATATGCATTCCAAGCAAAAAAGAAGTCTTTCACTAAAGTTCCCCAACTTGCATTTTAAAATAAAATATAGTTACATCATTTTCCTATTTCATGTCCTCCTCCTTACTCCTTCCATGTTTTTTTCTTGCTCCCTCAAGACCTCTTCTTCTTTAAAAATTGTTATATATACATATAAATGTATACAACCTGATATATGTGTTTTCTGCATGTGCGATCCTAGGGTTGATCACTTGCTACAGAATAGTCAGTCTGGAGGCTTTTCCCTTCATCATCTGTTTCCAATGATGAAGACTCAGTGATCACATTTATTAGGCAAATTTCTACATCAACTTCAGATATTTCCCTATCAGCCTTCTACAGCTTAATTGAAGGAATAATACTTGGTCTCATGACAGTGGTCCAGAGACTGACAGGAGTAAGGATATGTCTAAGGAAGAAAAAGATAAAGACAGACGACAATGCCAGAGAAGACCTTTTTTTAGTTCTCAGGAAGTTATATTAAGATGTCCCAAGTAACCTGTAGGCAAGTCTTAGAGACTTAGTCAAATATGAAATGAGACAACCAGGGAGGTCTCTGAGGTAGAAGACTGGATGAAAAGTAATAAACAGTAAATACAATTCCATTTGCTAGTGAAAACTTGACATAATTGCCCCTTATTTAAGTTAAGAAAAACAAAAATATATACATACCATGTATTAATACATAATAGTAGAGTTCGTTGCTGTATCTAAAACTAGAAAATTTTGGTTCCACACTCGCAGTAATGGGTGGGCAAGCAGACCTCGTCTGAGAACTCAGAGACACTAACCAGAGTTCGGAATACAACACATCTATTTTCTTATCTTACTCACCTTTAAAGCTAGTAGTACAAATTAGATACGATAACATTCATCCTTTAACCATTGTCAGAAAGATAGCCGGCAAAAATGGCAAAACCAACCATTCTAGAACAACAGCCATGATTGCTTAATACTTGTGGTCAGGAAAAGCATTTTGATATCCTCAGTGTCCACTTGAGTGTCCTGTGTATATGACCTTGGAGTAACTATGATCATAACTAATACAACCGAGGAACTGATTTTATTAGCTTACTTCAGTTTAATTAAATGTGACTGTGGTACCATACTGTGCAGAATGATTACTTCCCAGAAAGTGAATTAAAATACCGATGACCTCAAATCAACTAACAAAAAGACACAGCAGATAGGCAACTGGGCCTGGGGAACTGATGTACTTATTTATGTTACTGTTCTGTCCTGTGTCTAAGTGGCAGGCTCAGACAGTCTTGCAGGAAGAAACCCTGACAAGGGTAGAGACCTAAGTCAACCTTAGACAGGAACAAGGGGTGTGAAAGGATGACATACAGTCAAGACAGATAGGAAGTTCTGCAGGTGAATCCAAGCCGTTAGCACTTCAAGGACTAGTTGAGAGAGCCTGCTCCTTAGACAGCAGGTTCTGAAGAGACTTAAAAAAGTATAATTAGTCGATAATATACTCAATATGACTCATCATAGTAATAGATAACATTCAGTAAGTCTCAAAATAAGAATACTAACTTTCTTGAGAAAGAATGAATTGGTTCATTCTCTGAATGTGATAATAGTGTTTGAGGTCCATAGTTCTGGATCATGTAAAAGTTACAGGTTGGAGCCCTGGGTGTTCCCTAAGAACATAGCATCCGTCCTGGAAATGAGAACTCCCCTCCTTAGGCCCATACTTGTTCCATCACCCCATTCTCCAATACATTAAGAAGAAAAATAACATTCTGCATCTGTTTCTCATGACATTTTCTTTAATCAGTGCTGGGAGAGAAAGACGGCTACAAGCACACGATTTTTTAGCTTTACTAAGAGAAGGTAGTTACACTGAGCGGTAACGAATCTTACTGCCTTCCCAGGTCATTCTGTCGGTATCATTTGGCTGGAATCACACTTCTAATCTGCCTTTCATAAGAGCTGTTCAATTGGAAATTAGGTCAGACAAGCAGACAAAATTGGGTAGAATTATAGGATTTTCAACACATGAGTTATCAAATGTTTCCAGAATCTAGGGTATAGGTTTTACTTCTCAGACCAAGAATTCCGGGGGCGGGGGGGGGGAGGGCATCCTGTATTGTATCTACTTACTGGAGAAATATTTCATTTGAAATAAAAATACAAATAATACTTAGGGATCAGGAGTAAATTAGTATGCATGGATGATTGCATTTAATTTATTAACCCCCTCAATAAATTCTGCCAAAGTTCTCCCCATTTTATGCATGAGAACATTGAATCAAGTGTGAATGATACTTGCTAAAGGCAACTTTTCTAGTTAGCAATAAAGTTGGATGTGAACTCATGGAGTCTAGCTTCAAATTCTGTGTCATCATACATTATGCTATACCTCTCTCCTTATGGTGACAGAGAAAAAGTCATGGTGACCATGGGCAGAGACTGTATTTCCAGAGGAAGAGATGGCTAGAGTGAACTATGCCATACATAATGCTTTCTTCTTGATCCTTGGCTGGCTTTATCAGATAGAACACAAACAGAGAAGTATAAAGATAAAGATGTCTATTTCACCTGTGAAAATGTTTACAGGTAGAATACCTCTGGGGCTGACCATAAGTGACATGGTTATCTCTTTCAAAAATAGGACTGGAAATGTAGTTGTTCTCTAGGTGATATAGGTTACCATTTGATAATCAAGAGTCTTTCTAAAAAGAAAAGATGTATTTAAGATTGACATATTGCACATCAATTCATCCACCTTTTGCTCTTACACCTTCACAGTGACTACAGATATGTTGCAGCTGCGTTGGCTGTCATGCGCAATGTGACTCAGCAGATCAATGAACGCAAGCGACGTCTGGAGAATATTGACAAGATCGCGCAGTGGCAGGCCTCTGTCCTAGACTGGGAGGTAGGACCTTTATCAAAACGGGTGTTGGGAGGTCCCAGTTGCTTGTTGAAAAGTTTGTCATCTTAGCCAACAATTAAAAGGGAATTAGAAAGAAGGATCTGTATTAATCCCAAGACAAACTTTCCTACCAAGGAAGGGGTATTTAGAGTAGTTTCTGGAGTTATTTATTTTACTTTATTGTGACATATTAAGAAAGATAGTCTTCATTTCTTTGGGTGTTATTAGGAAACAACTGAATTTGCTTAGTACCATTCCAATGCTCTGTCTGTCCTGGATTTAAGATCATGAACTTCGCAGACAGATAAAATGTAGTACATATTAATGTATTCCAAAGCACAAAATAAAGACTTGGTACTCTTTTTTATAACCATACAGAATAGCAGATAAACTTCTTTTGCTCTTGGTGAGATCACCTCAGCCTAGTATATCTACTAGACTAATCAAGCATGCATATTCTAGGCCATAACTATCGTCCTGCTAAATCCAACGACTGAGCTCTGTTTTCATCATCATTCTAAAAATAATTTATTCCACCTAGTCATCCCAGTGTAGACACCTACAGTTTCTTTGAACTTGGAACAGAAATGACTGAAGTCATCGACCTTTCCTTCCCAAATGCCACTAACTAGGAGTAATAACATTTATTACTCATCTCACAGGCCCAAGTTTTGTGACCGGATACTCTGTAGGCTGACATAGCCAAGAAGGAAAATGTCAGCAGGCAGGAAGTGACATTCTCAAACTTTATGGTGATAGTATAAATGTAGATACCATACCTTGTTGTATTGCCCTCACCTCAGGTATAATTTTTTACATTTAAGTAACATATTTTTTAACATTTCAAATTGTTTAGTCTATCCAAAGGGGACCATTATTAGTCTTAACAAAGAGCCAATGTTCAGGCAATTTTTTTCTGCTACTTCTATTCTTCCTAATGTAGATGATTTAAAAACATCACAGTTATTATCAGTTGACACATTCTTATCCTGTTTGATAGATAAAGTCCTCTAAGAGTAGAATAGAAGTGATATCTTGAGATACAAAAAAATGAATAGAGAGAATATATGCATTCATTTTATTCATTTATACACTTATATTTTCATACATATATATGTATGTACACATACATACACACACATACATGCATGCAAACAGTCTTGCTTATAAGGAGAAACCATCACTGGGCAAGACTTACTAGAAAATAATGGATTATCTTTTATGTGTTTTTTCCTCTGTTCTCTTGGTGTAGCAGAAATAAGGAGCTTGACTAAATTAACTTTAAGCAAGCAAGCTTACCAACAGAGAGCCTCTGAAACTGTTTGGCAAGACCCTTTTTCTGCCCTTTTTCAGGCTTCTTTGTAAGGAAAGGTACCAAAAAGCCACCAAATTCCCATTCTCTGGAAGATTTTTCTTCTGCCCTGAAACAATTTTTGCCCTCTAATTTTATGTCTTGTCTGAGTCTCCATTCATTGACGAGGTGAATAAAAATTTGAAAGCCTTGCGTCTACCCAAAGAGCTTTATTTTTAGGAAACTCCAAGGACTTGAGCCATGGTTTAAGGAATCAGCATCCGAGAAAGCATTTCCTGTTATATTTCTGGAATGAGGGAGGTGCTCCTTGAGTAGACACATATAGTTAATTCTGACAGTGTTTCTGGAGAGCATGGTGGAGAACAACTGGAGGATGAAGGAGGCAGGAGATAGCAAACAGTGGCTGCCTTAGGCAAGCTTTACAAATAAACAGGCAAGCAATGCTTCCCAGTCTGGACCATTCTCCTACCTCTCTCAGATGTATAAACAAAATGTGGGGATTGTCAAAAAATGTCCTTGTGGTGATTTCTGCTTTACTCATCAAATGAAAACAGTTCTCACAGGGGAAACCTTCTAAACCTAATCTCCCTTGAAGGACAGGTAGGATTGGTGACCTACAGGCAATTGTCGTTAGCTTGGGAAATCAGATTATCTGGCTAAAGAGCAGAAAACCCTGCCTTAAATCGGTGTCTGTCTCTTTCTCCTCATCTTTTTCTCATGAATATTCAGATTTCTTTATGTAACTCCATTCCCCTATCAGTCACTTATTATACCCTATGAAGACTACTCTATCCCCCATAGCTCCTGAAAAATAAAGAGATCAGTTAAATTGCCATGTCCTTGCTGAAGTGATTATAACTTAGAGCAATTTAGAGTGGCAGAGGAGAGGAGAGCCTGTTTCCATGGACTGCAGCTTCTGGAAATTTTCCATTTCTCAGTTCTCTGGTTCAGAGGCTTGGATGAGCTGTCATCTTGCCTCCTTTCACATTAAATCATTTTAAACAAAGAGAAATGGAACATAACCCCGAGAGCCTCTCTTCAGCCTTTTTTTTTCTGAAGATCTTAAGAAAGTGCCCATGTTTGTAGCTCATGTTCGGGAGCTGGAAAATGTGGTGATAATTTTCTCTCTGTGGTTTTGCTCCTTTTCTTGCCTGCTTGTTTAATACTTGATGTCCTTTTCTGGCTTACTATTGTACTGTATAACAGAAAGAAACATCGGAAACAACAAAATAGTATGATAGATATAGAAAAGGTATCCATTTAAAAGTGAAGGTGACGAAATGACCTAGACTTGCCTTGGTCCAGAAGGTTAAAGTAGGCCCAGGTAGATTCATTACTTCTCTGCACTTATTGACACATTACATTGGTTAACACAGCTGCCACTGAAAATTAAACTCGTTGAAAAAGGTGACATTCTTTTGCCCTTACTTTTTGACATTAAAACCTGGCATTTTTCATCAACAAACATATTGGGTCTTATTTGTACCAGGCTTTTTCTTTTGGGCCACCAACCAGCTCCCAAAATCATGACACAGAGATTTATTTTTAGTTTTGAATGCTTGGCCTAACTTAGGCATATTTCTGGCTATCCTTAACTTTTAAGTTAAATAGCCTGTCTCTCTTTATCTACCTTTTGCCTCAGGGTTTATTACCTTTCTTAATTCTGTATATCTTACTTTCATTGCTTCTCAGTGTCTCAGGCTGGCTGGCATCTGCCTAGCTTCTTGTCTCAGATGTCTCTCTCATTCTCTCTTCCTTTCTCTTATTCTTTCTTCTCTTCTCTCTCAAACCTAGATTTCTCCTATTTATTCTCTCTGCCCATGAGCCCTGCCTATCCTTTCTCCTGCCTAGCTATTGGCCATTCAGCTTTTTATTAGTCCTGGTACCTTAGGCAGGCAAGGTGAATCAGATGCAACACATCTTTACATAATTAAACACACATCCTCACATTGTTAAACAAATGCAGCATAAACAAAAGTTACACAGTTAATATTTCACAGCATAAACAAATGTAACACATCTTTGCCCAGTTAAAATAATATTCCACAATACTCATTCATACGTCTCCTGGGATGCATGCAGCTTATGAACCACAGGTTAGATATGCCTGCTGTGTCATTCAGACCACAGCTGCATTATCAATTATCCTATCATCAGGATAAAGTAAAGCTGAACAAAATGGGTTAAGTTATAATTAATTAAAATTAAAGCCTACTCCTTGAGAGTTTGGCTACAAAAAATATGAAAACCTGATAAGAAAGCTCTGGGTAGGGTTTAATGGTCACTACTCATTTATTAACCATTGATGATTCCTTGCAGGTCATTTATTGAATGCTTACTCTCTATCAGGCTCCATTCTGTATTCTAGAAATGTGTGGTAGAGCAAAGTTTCTATAATTTATGTTTCGTTAGAGAAGAAAAGCAACACATAAGCATGTTATGGAGAAAAATAAAATATTATAATAGGCTAGAATGATGGAGAAATGACAAGAAGGGGATAACATTTGAGAAAAGACCCAAAGAAGATGAAGAAGAAAATCATGTGACTTTTTGTGGCAGAGCATTTCAGGTAGAAGGAAGAACCGTAACAAAGACCATGAAATATGAGACCGTATATTCTTAAAAAGAGAGAGAGAGAGAGAGAGAGAGAGAGAGAGAGAGAGAGAGAGAGAGAGAGAGAGGCCAATGTAACTAGGGAAAAAGCAGAAAATTGTATAGGAACAATTGGAGATCAGCTTCTATGTTTTCTTCTACGTACTTTGTTTCCAGTTTGGATGGAAGACACTGGAGGATTTGATATGTGACTTTAGGAGACTTGCCTTTTGAACAGCCCCTCTTTGCTTGCCCTTGCCAGCCATTATAGACTCTGAGATGAATCAGACATGGCCCTGTTCATCTGGAGTAGGCAGATAGATTCCTAGGAAGGTGAGCAGTTTGTGGTAAATGCTGGAAGAAGGCAGAAACCCTTAGAGGCAGTGGGAATGGACTGTGCTCTGTGGTGCAAGATAAAGAGATGTATAAGTAGACCAAACAGTAACTGCTTAAACTGCTTCCCAGGGATACAGAGTGAGTGAGTAACAGCACTGGACACAAGACAGTGAAACGGTCTCACCTAACTAATCTACTGGATCCGATTTTCTGCTAGGCGAGGTACCATCATTCAAGTGAAGTCTTTTAGTTAGGCACATGGGATTTGAAGGGATTCTGAACTTTGTTCTGCTTCTTTGGAGAAATTACTTCCAATTTCTCTGATTTATGATTTTGAGCAGAATCACAGCTCATCCTTGATCAGCTCATTATATTAGTAGAAGACAGAAAATATGTCTTAGTACCTGGGACACCCAAAAATACCCAAGATGAAAATAAAATATGTAAAATTTACAATGCAGTGCGTATATTCCTAAGTAAGTACTTACTTATGTTAATTTAAGTATTCTTCACACCATCTAAACAAATTTGTAATGGTATATTCTAGAAAGAATGAAGAAAGAACCAGGCAGTGGGGATGCATGTCTTTAATCCCAGCTCTCAAGAGATAGAGACAGGCAGGTCTCTGAGTTTGGGGCCAGCCTGGTCTACAGAGCAAGTTCCAGGGCAGCAAGGGCTACACAGAGAAACCCTGTCTCAGAAAACTGGAAAAAAATTAATGAAGAAATTGAGACACAATGAAAATATGTTAGTTGTTCAAGGTTAGTTAGCTTAGTGAGCATAGCAGTTTGTTTTTTTTTCTCAACATTTTTTTAACTTGGTTTTATATGCAGCAACTATTTAAAATAGGGTTAGTATGCCTCTGCCTAAGGAAATGTTGAGTATCCCCCTAGGTCTGATCATCCTCAGTTCATCAAATTGTAACTGTAAAAGTCATCCTGTAATCTGGGCATGGTGGCTTATACCTATATCCCCAGTACTTGGGAAGCTTCAAGTGGAGGGTTGCAAGTTCAAGATCACCCTGAGCTATATAGCAAGTTCCAGGCTTTCCTGGACTACATAGTAAGACCCTGCCTCAAAAATAGTCATGTTTGTCATCAACTTATATTATATAGCCAACTTTTATGCATTCTTCACTTTATACATACTCCAAGTAGGTTGTGGTACATCTTCCTCTCTTGTATCAGGAAAGGTCAGCTCTGAGGAGAGGCCTGACCCAGCCCTATGCATTCAAAGGCTCAATGCTAGTATGTCAACTCAAGGACTGTTTGTTTACCTTTATCTTGGATACTCTTGTAACTCAATTTGGACGCTAGAGTCAAAATGGTATATTTTGAGCTGCTTTCAAGTTTGGTTATTAGAAAATAATCCACTGAGATCTCCTTTTCTTTCCAATCCCTCAGACTAGGGGAAATGGTGCAATTAAAAATACTGTTTCTTGATGTCACTCTTTTTAGCATATTATTCTGCCAGAGCTATTTGCTTCTGACTATTTCAGAAGTATAGGGATTTCTCTCTTTAATCAAACCTTGAACTTTTGGTATACATTTACCTGTAAAGGTCCCAAAGCTGGTGCTCTAGATATTATGTGTATCCATCTCATTTAACAGCTGGTAAAACAGACCTAGGGAGAGGAAGGAACTGGACATCTAGGTACTTTCGATGCTAGAAGCAATATAATTTATGGGGAAGAGTAAAGGTGCTCTCTCGAATCAGAGGTTAGTATCAGAGTATCTGCAGCTAACAAACTTCATGATCTTGTCCTATTCCTTCACCTCTTGGTACTTGAAGATGTAAAATGGGACCAAAATGGTTTATCTGGCAGAACTTTTGTGAGGTCCAGATGAGATAGAGTAAAAAGTAAGTAGCACAATATTTGACCCATATATATCTTCTGGAATGGTGAGTTCTCTTCCCTGGGACACTGCTTATTTCTTCCATCTTCACATAGGCTGAAGCATGTGTAGTAAACTTTCTGATTTGATCATAAAATATCTTCCTTATTTCATTTTTATATGGAAAATAGAAAATTTTTGACTATATTTTTTGGTCCAGATAGGAATTGAGAGACTGGATAGGAGAGACCAGATAGGAATTGAGAGACTGGAACAGAAAAGAGATTAATAAAAGATAAAAAAAAATACCTGCCTGCCTGCTTGAGTCTCATTTAGGTTCAGAATAAATAAGAATACAGGAGGAAAAGAGCGAAGCACGGAGAAGATGGGTGGCTATCTGACTAAGGGATGGGTCTTATTTAACCCGACAGTAAATAAGAATATGAATCTTCTCACTTATAGAATTGTAAACTTTTTAAGGGAACCCAGAAGTCTCTCTCTTTTCCTCCATCGCCACAACGTCTTTTTGGCTAACCTCCCAGTCCAGTCTATGCTTGCAGTTGGGTATCTCTGTGTAAGGAATTGTACCAGCTCTACTACCTGGCTCTCTCTCACCATCACATATCCTTCCTAGGGAGAGGACATCTTAGACAGGAGCTCGGAGCTGATCTACACTGGAGAGATGGCCTGGATCTATCAGCCCTATGGCCGTAACCAGCAGAGAGTCTTCTTCCTATTCGACCACCAGATGGTCCTCTGTAAAAAGGTAAAACTTAACCTCTTCTTTTCTAAGGGAGATGAGAACCTCGGGAGTATGATAATCTCCTTCCCTTTCATTACCCCCAGGTTTTTAAAGAAATAGGCAAAAACTGCCGGAGGAAATTGGCAGCAGCTCTATATCAGAAGTGCTGGCATGGCATGAAGATCATAAGCAACAGTGAAATGCTGAGGTTAACTCATTTTTATCCCAATAGCATTTCTGTTTTCCCTCATAACTCTTGTGGTATTCCTTCTGAGCTTCTTGCACCCACAGCAGATAACCAGCAAATTTGGACCAGCGTTGAAGAATATTGTTGTATTTGTAATCCCACTTAGCAAAGAATAGCTTCCAAGAGTACCTTTCCCAATTTCCACTTTAATGGAGCCACCTGCCCACTTCCTATCCTAGGAACCAACAAGGGGACAACTTGTCATTCAAACAATTAGGTCATCTGTGGTACAAGAGTTTTCTTCATACCTCTATCCATTTCCTATACAAAGGGTAGCATCAGTTGCCCCAAAAATTTTCACTCATGCTATTGCTGGATATCCTATCCCTGTAATCCTTTTGAAGAGACATCCTGTACTCGTTACTGATCCTTGGATACCTCTGTGAATATTGGCTTCTCAGCCACTTCTCTTTGATAGAGGGATAGCATATGTTCCCCACATAATCTCTTCTGAGGGTTCCTAATGGGATATTGTTTCTTCTTTCATGACAGGAGGCACAACCCAGCTTTGTCAGTAAGATTTGGCTGGGAAGAATTTTGAATCACACAAAGTGAGAAAATGAGGGAGAAATCAAGAGTACTCAGAGTGACTTTCAAAATTTGTTCACATTCTTGGCTTTTTCTTTATTACATAATTACCTCTTTTTTACATTTGTGATCTCCCTTACCCAGTAGCTAATGTCCCTAAAGAGTGGTGCCAAATCATGACATTCCAAGTTAAACACTAAGCAGACATCTGTTTTATGTCCCTTGCTCTCTGTGAGTGTGCATGTGTGTGGTGTGTTCGACATTAAATCGTTACATGTTTGCCTTTCACAATCAGCTGAGAGAGTAAATTGAGCTGAGGATTCAAACTGCCTTGGTGTTTGTCAATAAGCTCAGAATGCCAGATCTGGAACCAATAACCTGCTAGTGGATTAAGGTAGTTATTTCAGACTGGATCTGACCCTGGGAGAGAAACCTATGTGTTGAAATAAGAGCGGCGGGGCTGCGTCCCCAGCACCCCAGCCGCCTGCTAGCTTATGCCCGAAATAACAACACAGAAACTGTATTCATTTAATCACTGCTTGGCCCATTTCTATCTAGCCTCTTCTAGGCTAATTCTCGCACCTGGACTAGCCCATTTCTAATAATGTGTTTAAGCACCCCAAGGTGTGCTTACTGGGAAGATTCTAGCCTACATCCATCCTGGGTCGGAGCTTCATCGCGTGTGCCCAGGAGAGCGAAGCAGGGCCTCTGCTCCCAGAGAGCAGAGCTGTCGAGTCTGAGCTCACTTCCTCTTCCTCCCAGCATCCTATTCTGTTTACTCCTCCCACCTATGTTTTAACCTATCAGGGCCAAGGAGTTTCTTTATTGCTTAACCAATGAAATCAACAGATTAATATATGACACTCCCACATCACCTATGAATCTGAGACTCAGCAAAACACCAATGTCTCTTCTTAGCTCCACCAGCTCCTAGCAGAACTTTCATACGAACCAGGAGTCAGAATTTCTGAAGGTTAGTAAAAACAACAAGGAAGCTCTTAGCTTATTAGCTATGTCACCAACAGTCATATGTCCCTTCTTCCCACTAATGTATGTTCTTGCTTAGAACAATTAGAGATGGGGGAGAGAGGCAAAGGGAAAGGGAGAAGGAGAGACAGAGAGAGTGGGGGAGCTTGGTGGAGGAAAAAGAGGAGAGAGAAAGAAAGAGAGGGGAGAGAGAGACAGAGAAATTAGGAGTCTGTTTTATTTCAGGGTTCCACACTACCTGCCCATACTTCTTGATTTTTGCATCTGTCCCTGAAAGATGCAGTTGCTTTGAGTAAAATGTGAAACTGACCTCTGAAAAGCAGTGGCTAAGGAGTCAGATACACAAGAGTAAAGCAGAGCCTAAGGATAAAGGAAAAGAAAAAAAGATGGAACAGTGTGCTCTATTTAGGAGTGAAGGGGCAGCAAAACACCAAGATGAAGTGGTGTGTCAATTCTAGGACAACTAGTTGGAAAGAAAATGATTAAAAAAACAGCAGAAGTTAAGGGAGGGCTTCTGGATTCAGAGCAGCCACGTTAGGAGTTTGGGAAAAAGCAAACAACAGGATGGCAAAGACAATGGACATCTTGATAAAGGCATAGCTTCTCTCAGATGAGAGTTTTCTTGTTTCAGTGAGGTCATAGGCTTTCTCTCCAGAACAAAAGCCAGCCTAGAGTTCAAGACTGTTTACTCCACATACTTGGATGTTCTTACACTGCTTTCCCAGGGTTGGAAAGCTACAGCCTTGTTAAGAAAGGCCATGAAAAGTATATGATGTTTGTCCATGGTTGAGGATTTCCATGTGATGTGCAATAAATCTTTCTACTTTCTATTTATCAAATAGGAGGTAAATCAAAAATAAGAATGGGGTAGAAAGAAGGTATGCAAAAGAGCAAAGTATTAAGTCTGCCAAATTGTTCTTACCATTACTGCAAAAGAGTAGTACTTGGGGTGGGGTGGGGTGGCACACCTTTGTGGAGTTAAACATAACCTTTGACAAAGGAAAAGATGGACAAGGCTAAGAGTGGGTTGAATTGAGTAAGGATTCATCTCACGTGGTTCACCTCTGGAACACAATTTAAATGGATGCCCAAAAGCTCAGTTATTTTTTCATAAAAAAAGAATGGGCTAATCAACAATTAAATAATTGAATATGGCTACATTAATCTTTCTGATGATAAGCTCATATTTAATAGGAGTCCTTCAGTAATGTGATATGTAACAGGAATAACACAAATAATTTCATAAATCCTGGAAGGTTAGTTTAAAATTTTTCAAGATAATATTAAATATTTCTAAGTACTTGAATGTTATTAAAAATAAAGGAAGAAAAATAGCTAATAGTCTGATAAGACCTTTCATGAGACTGAAGGCTTAATGGTAACTGAGAAACAGAAAGTCCTTAACCAAGAGGAATTGAAGCCCAAAGGATGTGAGGTTGCAATAAAGTATCTCACGGCTCTGAATTTTTATTTTGAGTGCATACTCTGTGACAGTCACATCTACCTTCATGGGACCTGTAATCTAACAAAATTTGGGATAACGTAAGAGAAAAATGTACACCTTTATGCACTGAAATAATGCTCAGATGTGTCTGGTGGAGTTGCTTTAGGAAATCTTGGCAATACTATAAATACTAATGAAATATGTGACAAACATATAGATAGGCAAATAGACCAGTATTCAGAACAGAAAACTATATTATGGAAACTATAATTAATAAAAAGTAATGATAAATTGGCATTATTTTAATGCCTCTATGATTCTATTTAAATAACTTTAAATTCATTAATTCAGTATTCATGACAGATTTGCCAGGGAAATACTGTGATTATTCACATGTTAATGATATATGAAATTGAAATACAAGATAATTATGTATTTATCATGGCTGATAAATAACGAAACTAGGGATTAACCTTCATTTTTTTCATTTCTCAGGATAGAGATTGACCCAAGAATTTGCACTTGTAAGGCAAGTTGTGCACCACTGAGCTTCATTCTCCAGCCAGGGGCTAAAACTAGTCAAACTGTCCCAAGGTTATAAACAAGCGACTTCTGTGTCACTATTGCCATTCAGCTTGTCCAGATTTTGTAATTGATTATTAAGCAGTCTAAATATTTAGGACAAGATTAATTAATCCTGCAGGCTCAGCATTTGTTTCTAAGAACAAGTTACGATGTTTTGATAAGAACTCTATTTGTATTATTCCGGAACTGGAGGATAAGACTGAAATTCACAGAGAGAATCTGTATTTCAGGGTGGGAGTCACTTGTTTGATTTAATTTGAGACAGGGTCTTCTGCACTTCAGCATGTCCTAGGGCTCGCTATGTATCAGAATGTAAGTTCAAACTTTTTATCTCTCTTGCTTCTACACTGAGATTGCTGGCATGTGCCACCTTTCACTGCCAGTGATCAAACCAAGGACTTGGTGTATACTCTACCAAGTTGAGCCAAATTCCCAGCCCCAAGAATAATTTCTTTTGCTGCCACTTTAAATTTTCTCACAATTTCCTTGTAGAGAGAAGAAAAATGGAGGGATAGATAATGTCAAATGGTTCTGCTCTTAAATGTTTTAGCATGCCTGTTATTTCAAGCAAGCAAGTAACTATTTCATGCACCTTCATTATATCATCTCTAACGTTAGCAGGGCGAACAACAGGATTGTTATGAAGAATAAATGAGATCAATGCATATGTAGTGGCAGTTGAGGGACGGGACTGGTGCAGATGCATGTGAAGCTTGTTCAAACCCTACTGTCAACAAAAGGCAGAATATTGTAAGTTGGTGAAGTCCCCATCAGTAGATTTACCCAACTCTGGACTGAATAATTATCTGCTACAGGTAACACAGGAAACATTTAAATATTCAATCTACTCTTCAAAATTCAGCAACTAATGTCCACCTCCTAAACTTCTGTCTGACTCTCTCAGTTTCTTTAACGTGAAGCCAGTTAAACAAAACCTGCCTGTTTTGCACACTGGGAGTTGGATTGAATAAAGCACTCAGAAGAGTTTGAACAGCTTGTACAGCTTGGAGTTTGTTTTGCAGAGGAAAGCATAAAGCAGGGTACTTTTAAAATAGCAGTTATAATACACATGAAAGACACCAGTAGCTCCTTTAATTTCTGTTCCTTTTCTTTCCTTGTCATTTTTTTTAAATGGTAAGACCCTTTTGTTCTCTTTCCTCTTATCCTGTGCACTGGCTGCCTCTGCAACTCTATTAGTTTAGTTTTGTACATGTTTTGCTGTTTTCTCCAAGA